CTTTTTGTTTTGCTCTTTTCTATTCATCCTCAGAAATACTAACCTATTACCAAACTCTGGCATAATATTCCTAACGGTCTACTGCTCACCTCTTTAGCTAAAAACAAGTCTTCCTTCCCTGTATCCAAACAACTCTCAGACACCTTGCTGTATTCTTTGGCATTTTTCTCTCCATTTCTACTAGTATCATCTTAATTTAAACTGCAATTTTCTGTTTTGGTCTATTGTGATAACAGTATATTAAGAACCCAAACTATGGAGATAGAGTGCCTAGGTTTGATTCTTGGCACATCACTTAGAGCTGTGTAATCTTGTGCAAATTACATAAGGTCTCTGTGCCTTAGTTTCAATATCTGTAATAAGGATAGTAGGGCCGGCCTGTGGCTCATTCAGGAGAGTGCGGTGCTGATAACACCAAGGCCACGGGTTCGGATCCCATATAGGGATGGCCGGTTTGCTCACTGGGTGAGCGTGGAGCTGACAACACCAAGTCAAGGGTTAAGATCCCCTTACCGGTCATCTTTTTTTTAAAAAAAAAGGATAGTAGTATTTACTTCATAGGGCAAATGTACATGTCTGTCTGTTAGGTATCATGCCTGGCACATAGCAACTGCTATATAATAGTAGCTATTACTATTACAATCTTTTAACTGGTCTTCCAGGCTCTAGATTTGTTGACTATAATCCATCCTGAATACTATCTCATCAGATAGTATTCTAGCTCCTCACTGCTTCCTAAATAAAGCTGCAACTTCTAAATCTAAAATCAAGGGCCCTTTCTTGCTTATGCTTGAATGTAGAGCTGCCATGCATAACACCCAACTCCAGGAAGCACCACTCATCGCCCCATGTCAAAATCTCCCTATCCATGCTTCAAAATACTTTGCATTTTTCTATGTTGTGTTATACTTCAAGTTTTAAAAAATCTCCTATCTGTTGTACACATCAGCGTTGAGTTTGGAATACCTTTCCAGACTTTAAAATAAACATACAATTTTAGAAAATAGTACCTTCTACATACCACAGCATGTTTTATTTTACCTAACAACATATGGAAGGATAAAAATGTAACAACACAAAAGTAATGTTTAATCATCACCAATAAAAAAAAGACAAAAAACCCTACTATCCATTTGTAAGTGACTCTTCAGCATGAGAAACAACTCTACATTTACAGAAATCAAAGAGCCTCAGAGTAGTGAACGTATGTAAATAGGCAATGGCTAGTCTCTGGAGAAAAAGAAACCACTGAAAAGACATGAAAACCCACAAGGTAGGATGAAAATAAAAGTTTAAAAAACAAACATCCCACTTTTAAAATTGGGGCAAAAGGAAAAAATCAAACAAACAAAAAACACACACCACCGCAATAATTGGGGAATACATAAAAGTCAGGAAAAAAACAAAAACACAAATTCGTAAGCCCAGCTAAGTGATGTCATATTCAAAATGTAAAAGTAGGATGTAGTTAATAATTAGGTAACTTTAGATACCTTCAGAACTTGAAGATAAGGTCAGCCTCTGACATTAGACTAAGAAAAATTCAAATTAATGGATTAATATGAACAAACTTAACCATCTATAAAAGTAACCTACAACAAGAAATGCTGTTAATAAATATGTGGCTGAAGAGACAAGGAAATATTCAAATAAGATCAAGGAGTTAAGTCTCTGAAATGCATGACTGATGTTTTAAAAAAACAAACAAACAAGGCAAGGTATAATCCAATCAAATGTATGTATTGAATGTAAAGTTCCCAAATTGGAAAATATTCCAATCACAAAAGTATGTTTCATTTTTGGTATTAATGGGCCTTCCTCAGTATGAATAAAATACACAGTATTACCCCTCAGGACTATCCATTTCTTTTAGTCCAATCCCTTTTTGCCTAAGTAACCCTCTGATTACAATTTGATCTACATATTTGACTTGATTTATAGAAGGGAGGAGTACTTTGTCTCAACAAGGTATAATACTTACTAGGAAACCCAGGCCTGGAAAAAAAAATTCTTTCCAGGCCGGCCCGTGGCTCACTCGGTAGAGTGCGATGCTGATAACACCAAGGCCACGGGTTCGGATCCTATATAGGGATGGCCGGTTTGCTCACTGGCTGAGCGTGGTGCTGACAACACCAAGCCAAGGGTTGAGATCCCCTTACCGGTCATCTTTAAAAAAAAAAAAAAATTCTTTCCCCCCATACAATGTCCAGCTAAGAGCATTCTAATTGCTCAAACATCATATACCATTAATATGGCACAAATGGCAAATAGTCTCTGCTGTGTTAGGTCTCCTCTGCTGGACTATGTTTCTTTAGAGCAAGGACAATAAAAAACAGTATTTATTATGCATGTACTACATGCTAAATTCTGTTCTAGGTACTGGGAATACAATGCTGAACAAAAAGTAAAAATCCAAATCCCTAAGGAGTTACATTCTGATTTGCAGAGAGATAAAAATATTTTAAAAATTAGGAAATTATATAATATATTACAAGGTGATAAATGCTAGGAGAACATAAAGCAGAATAAAGGGGCATGTCAAGGGGAGTGATAATTTTAAATAGGGTGTTTAAGGTAAGCATCACCGAAAAGGTGAAATTTTAGCAAAGACTTGAAGGAGATAGGCTCCTAAATTTGAATCACAGTTCTACAGCTTACTTTAAGGTGAATTTAGGCAAATTATTTAAGTTATTTTATTCTAAAAAAAACACAAAAGGAAGTCAAGGAACAGGTCATGCAGTATCCAGAGGAAGAGTACTCCCAGCAGAGGGAGAGCAAGTGCAAAGGTCCTTGCATTCAAGAAGCAGCTATGCCAGCATGGCTGGAATAGAGTGGGTTTTGTAAAGGGATAAAAGAGGATGTCATTATAGAGATAAAAGGAAGAAGGCAAGGGGGCATAGGGCTGCTCCCAAACTTTTAAACTTTTACTGTTAGACAGGGAGTCACTAGAGGATTTTTGAGCAGAGGAGTGATCAACTATTTTGACTTTTTAAAAGAATCACTGTATTGAGAACTGAATATTGGGGGAAGGGGGCATAATATATATATATATATATATATATATATATATATAAAATGGTGGAAAACAGGGTGGCCAGTCAAGAATCTACTTTAATAATCTAGGCATGAGATAATGGCTTGAGCCAGCATGGCAACAATGGAGGACATATGGAGTGGGGTCAACAGAATTTGGTAACACATTGGATGTGACAGAAGTCAATGATGACTAAGGTTTTTGGCTGAAGAACTGAAAAGATGGAGTGGTCATTAACTAAATATGACTATAGTCTCAATAGCTAGCAATGACTGACAATCCTAACTATATGCCAAATGTTCAATTAATCTTCTTACATGCATGATCACATTTAATCCTCACTACACTTGTGGTGGGTATCACCCCATTTAACAAGTATAGAAACCTGCTGATTATTGGTAAGCTTGGTAAGCTGCGATTCAAAACTAACAGCTCTCTTAAGAGCCTATGTACTTAACCAGTATTCAATACACCATTAAAGTCACAGGATCTAGCATTATCCTGAACATAATAAACATTCAACACTTATTGAAATAATTAGCTTTTCTGAACACAGGTTAATAAATCAAGTGACCTGAGTTCAGTGCAAAATTGTTTGGCCTCTCCAGATTTCTGCCAGTTCTTGCAAATGACTGAGAAACAAATCCTGAAAAATTGTCTCTTCAATTCAGAATTATAATTTCAGAGACTGAAGTGACTATAATCTTTTAACACACTCCCCTTGATAGAAGAATAATCAGTAGGGGGCAGCCACAAAAGATACTGACAACTAATTTCATACAGTGATCTTAACACAAGGTCTTAATAAAAGACCTTAATACAAGACCTTGAAAGAGTCTGTCTGGACTATTGAGGACTATGCTTTGTCACTCCCACCACTCACCTCCCCTAAGTCTCTCACTCTGACTTCCAAGTTCCGGGTCCTATTTTCCTACTCCCAAGCCTATCCTCATTCCAACACCTTCACTGCAGCTAGACTATACTACCTACAGCCTTAACTTTACTAGTGTTGTTTCCTCAACTTCTCCAACCTTTTGTGAATGATGTCTCCTCCACCTATGCCTTTTTCAGCAGCTGGGATGGGGAGGTGGATGGGAAGGAGAGAGACTCTCCCTCAGCCTTAACTCTGCCCATCAAAAATCCTATCTGTACTTCAGACCTAGGAGAAGCACGTCTTTCAAGAGGACTCTACTCCCTTGCAAACTGTTTTATAACAGCTTATAGCTGCAGCATGATATAACAGAAAGGGAAAGATTTGGGAAGCAGAGAATCTAAGCTCCAATTTTAGATCTACCACTTACCCTAACCTTTCTGAGTCCGCTTCTTCAACTGTCAAACAGATATTACTATGCATTCGCAAAGGGTTGTTATGAGTCTGAAGTGAAGGAAATGTACATGAAATGTTGGTCTTCATCCCAACATTATGCAACCTGGTATTATTCACTGCGCTCTTATTTCAGAACCCCTCTGGATCGTAAATGGAAGTCAGAGAACCTGAATTACAACCTGTCTATCTCGTAGCCCCTAAAACTTTTGGTATGCATACAGCAAGCAGTCGGTAAACGTGTGTTGCACTCTACCGACTGGTGCGAACCTAGGGCAGGAGCCTGGGCGATTGGTCAGCTGGGGGTGAGGGGCAGCCCAAACCACCACGGCTTAGCCTCAAACTGCACTCCAGCTCCGGCGGGCTTCGGTTTCCTCTTGCGTAAAAGTAGGTGGTAACCAACTGCTTAGGCCGCTTCCAGCCAGCTCAGTCTCTTCGACCCGACCCACACCCCGTGGGGCTCCGATTACGAGAAGCCTTCCATTTCACTTGTCCTCGACCAACACACACACACACACACACACACAACCCCCAACAGTCACCCCGACCGGCGCCGCCCACCGCAGGCCTCATCCGGGCGCAACGCCACGGGCAGTCCCCACAGGGACGGCTCCAGGGGGCCCGGCCCAGGCAGGTACTCACGCCCGTGGGGACGGCGGATTTCGCTGCGGCGCTCGCCGAACGGAGCGTCCTACTGCCGACCTGCTCCAAGCTGAGGAACTCGTTGGACAGGTCCAGGGAGTCCGTGGCCGAGGTAGATGAGTGGCTGCTGCGGAGAACCACCATCTTCTCTCCCGGTCGGTCCCGGTGTCCGCGGCGGGAGAAGCCCAGAGTCCCGGACGGCAGCCTCCTAGGCTCTTCCGCGCTCCGAATTCTGGCGCCACAAGCTCCGCGCCAGCGGCCGCAGCGCACGCGCCCGGAATCCCTCCGCCGTCTGCCTCGCTCGATCTGTCATCCTAAAGCGGCAGGCTCGAAATTTTCTTCCCATACGTTGAGCGAAGGAGACCGGGTCGAAGTTGAAAGGAACACATGCCGACAGTGTGGAGGACCTGGGCGGAGAGAAAAGGGAGAACGCTGACTTCTTTTTTCCTTATATAGTTCCGGCTCGCTGAACTCGGCGGAGGGAGACAGCAGGAGCGGTGCGCAGTCCTGTTTGGATTTTGGCGCGTGGAGGGCGGAGGGGGAAGGGAGGCCTCCGAGCGTTCTGATTGGCTGGCGGGGCTTGGCGTCTCCTCCCTGCCCCTCCCGACGCCTGCCTGCTGCTTCCCGCCTTGTGGGATTCAAATGCAAAATCCTCTGTCCTTGACTGGAGGGAGATAAGGCACGTGGCCTTTTACAGGTTTTGACTTTGAACCTTAAGAGCTTTCTACTGATGGCTTAACCAAAACAAGTTAACTACCAAAAAGAAAACAAAACGAGCTAAGAGCGAGCCAGCAGAATGCAAGTTAAGGACGCAGGCTCTGTCCCAGCCCTGCCATTTCCCACGTAGAGATGATCTTGAGCAAATTATTCACCTCTCCGGGTCCTAATTTCCTCATCTGGAGAGTAATTATAATAATAATACCTAAGTAGTAGTATTATATCGTAGAACTGTAGCAATAAATGTTTGCTGCTATCACAGAATTACAGAAAATGGCTTCTCTAAAATGACAGCAGTTACTTGACTACTTTGAAATAGGCAACAACATGCTGAATGATCAGAATGTGAGAGGAGTCCTAGTGAAAAAAAAAAACAAAAGCTATTGATTGATTTGGATAACTACAGTTTATTAATTCAACATTTGTTAAATATTTATTGAGCATCTATCATGTGCTGGGCATTATCCTAAGCACTGCAGGTGCAGCAGTGAACAAAAAGAATAAAAATATCCTCATGGATATTAAATTCTAGTGGGAGGAGAAAGACGATAAAGCAAATACATATGTTTCTTAAAAAGTGGTAAGTGTTACAGAGAAATATAAAGTAGAAAAAGGGAAGGGAAGAGTGCAATTTTAAACAGAGTGAGAAATCTTAGCAAAGGCCTAATAGACATTATATATATCTGGGAAAAGAGAGATGCAGGAAGAGGGAAGGGGAGGACAGCAAGGCCAATGAGAACAGAGACACTGGGAGCAGATACTGCAGGGCTGTGGCCTCAGTTTGAAGTTTTTTGGCTTTTATTGTAAGTGAGATGAAAAGGAAATTTGGCCTTTTTAAAATTTTTCAAAAATGTATGCACCATGATATTTACTGCAACATTATTTATAATATCAAAAAACTGGAAAAAAAGGGCCGGCCCGTGGCTCACTCGGTAGAGTGCGGTGCTGATAACACCAAGGGCCCGGGTTCAGATCCCATATAGGGATGGCCGGTTCGCTCACTGGCTGAGCGTGGTGCTGACAACACCAAGTCGAGGGTTAAGATCCCCTTACCGGTCATCTTTAAAAAAAAAAAAAAAAAAAAAACAGATCCCAAATAGGAATGGCCGGTTGCCTCACTGGATGAGCGTGGTGCTGACAACACCGAGTCAAGGGTTAAGATCCCCTTACCAATCATCTTTAAAAAAAAAAAAAAACTGGAAAAAAAAAAACTTGAATGCCCATCAGTGGGGCCTCACTAAATTAACAAGAATGCTATACAGTCATTAAAAATTATGATGTAACTGCATTAATTTAATTACAGTATATAGGAAGTTGTGCACAAAGCCTTGTAACTTGACGAAAAACTACAAATAGGTACCATATTGTTTCATCTTTGTTATTAAAAAAAAAGTATATGTGTATACTTACATTGAAAAACCTGGAAGAAACAACACCAAAATGTTAAGAGTGGTTAAATTTCTGGATGGTGATATTATGGTTGTTGTGTAGTTTCTTTATACTTTCCTCATTTTTCTCATTTTTTTGCACGAATATATATTACTTGTATAATAGAAAAAGGCTTTAAAACAATTTTTTTAACCAATAGAAGCCTTTTGTTTGTTTGCTTGTTTTTTTGGCAGCTGGCCAGTACAGGGATCAAACCCTAGGCCTTGGTGTTATCAGCTGCATGCTCCAGCCAACTGAGCTAATTGGCCAGCCCCTGTTTAACCAATATAAACAAAAGAAAAGAACAATATTTAAGGTAGGATAATTTACTGCTATTTAGCTTAAAAATACTACATAACATCTTATTTTATTCATTCATTCAGGAAATTTTTATTGAGCACCCATCTTGTCCCAAGCATAGTTTTAGATGCTGGGGATAAAGTAGTGAACAACACAAACAAAAACCCTGGCTTTGTGGAGCTTACATGGTGGGGGATGAGGGGTAGTTAGTCAATAAACAAGGAAATAAATAAATAAATAAGATAACTCCATCATAGTAAGTGGTCTAAAGAAAATAAAACAGGATCCTGTGACAGAGAATGGCTGAGGGATGGGGAGGGAAATATAGATTGGTTGGGGCCGGCCCATGGCTCACTCGGGAGAGTGCGGTGCTGA